GTGAATAGGTAAGTTCATCCAGCGTAGTAGGTTTACGTTCAACGTGTAGTTTTTGGAGAGCCCAAGTGAACTGATGGGATCACATCTTACTAGGATCTAAGTGATACGAGTCCTGGCCTTCTCTATCATGAAAAGCTAAACCAATGGTCAAGTGGATTTCCGCAAGGCTCACAGGCATTTCATCACCTTAGGCGAATATACTACTGATGACAAAAGGCTGGGTAATTCACATTTAAAACCCTCGCACTACGCACATCCATATTCGTGAATCGACCACATCGATTACAAGCCGTCAACTTCCTTCTCCCAGGCATACAAACCGTAGGCGTACAAACACAAACGTGAATGTGAGCGAATCAAAGGCCAGTTTGGCGCGTTGCTCCGAACACCGGAAACTGAGATAGTGCGACAGACAGCCCAAGCGGTTTAAACAGAAGGTACAAGTTTGTGTGTGTGTGCGCGCATTAGTAATGCACGACTCCTGTGCATATCTGTCTGCATCTCGATCACCGGCTAGCCCAGTGGGAGAAAGAAAGGCCACACGTGCGCACTTCCAAGTGGTATGTTCACAACGCGATTGCCTAAAGCAGGTCAGGGTCAATGTGACGAGGAGGGAGGCTGCTGGCGAAAATAGATGCACCGACAAAAAAGACCTAATTCTGACAAATAGGGTCGAAATGACTAAGGATGGGGTCACGCCAGAACTATCAGAAAAAGGAAGCGATGCTTAGTTGAAAAACTACGGAATGACTTAAAATAATAATTAATTTTTAAGGTTCAGCGCATCGAAGTAGGCGAAGTACTTACTTGAATTTCATGAATGATGGTCATAAAATGAATCATTTTTTCGCTCGATGCTCAGTAATAATTTCGTAATACACAACACAATCTTGAGCATTCCACTCGAATTCCAACCAGAATACCATATAGCCAGTAAAATATCTTGCTGATCAATCAGTGCAATTAAAAAAAGTGAAAATAAAATGGTCAGAACAAAAATTTGTAAACACCTGACTTATTCAGCTTTCTAATCCAATAATTAAAAATTAACCTGGTATTGGTTCGTAGGGTAGGAGTAATGTGCTTGCAGGACTCAGAGGGTACATCGCGTTTGGGACAATGAGTTAAACAAATCAAAATTACCTTGATACATGAAATGCAAGAGCAACTATGACTGGTGGAAATTCCAGACATCCAGTTAATCGTGCGTAAAATTATGTCACAACACGTGGTAGATTTCTAAATCAAAAGACACAAGCAACTACGTCTTACAGTCAGTGGGGCTGTGCTACGGGTTATTTCTGTAAAGTGCTTTCGACACTGTTCTGTTTAGGATATAGTAAAATTTTACACAGCAGTTAACTGAAACTGACAGAAGAAACGACATGGTAGGCACATTAAAGCTTATCATACGACTGTAGTATATGAAAATGGGGGTTCAGAAGGACCTTGGTTGAACCCGTTCTGATGGATAGGAACGAACGCTTTCTGATTTATTTACCTACTTGAGCGTGATGGATGACAATAAGGCTGATAAGCGCGACAAAAAAGTATATTATCTCAGAGAAATGCAGCACGTTATGGATAAAAGGGTATCGCTCACCATTTGGAATGAAACCGAGTCCGTAACGATGGGCGGATTAAGTGAAGTTAGCGTATCCGGGATACTATTGAATCGATCAGATTCGGGAACACTGGAG